AAACCATTTGGGTTAAGAGCGTCAGCCGTCACTTCCGGTCGTCACAGGAAGTGATCAAAGAAATCGAAATTTTCAACTTTTCTTTTTTGATTTTTTTCTTTCATTACATTGTTGCATCTTATTTGTAGATTCGAAATATGTTAGTCTTACCGGAACCAAAAACGTCAACTTCCGGCTATAAGTGAAAAACTGCATAATTTGAGTATTTTACTTTCCCATAAATATTTTTTATACATAATGTATTTGAACTGATTTTTGAATATGTTATCAAGACTGCAAATGTCTAGAGTAACGTCAAATATCTTTGTAAAATTCACTTCCGGTCGCGCGTTTAAATGTCCGCAAAATGAGAACTTGTCCGAGTGAGATCTCAGAAACGGTAAGAGATTTAGACACCAAACTGATAAGAGTATTAAACCTTGAGAAGTAGACAAAACAATTTGGCTTAAGAGCGTCAGTCGTCACTTCCGGTCGTCACAGGAAGTGATCAAAGAAATCGAAAATTTCAAATTTTCTCTTTTGAAATAAGACTTGCATCATATAATTGTATCTTTTTCACAGTTACGAGATGTCTTGGTTCCACCGGAAACAAAAAACGACAACTTTCGGTTTTAAGAGAAAAACTACATAATAGGGGTTTTGAATTTCCCCCAACATATCGCTTATAGATAGAGTTCTTTAAATGATTTTTATATATGTTATTGAGACTGCAGTTGTCTAGATTGACATGAAATATCTTAATAAAATTCACTTCCGGTCGCGTGTTTTCTTGTCCACAAAATGAAAAGTTATTTCAGCGAGATCTCGGAAACGGCATGAAAGTAAAACACCAAACTTGTAGGAGTAATAAAACTTGGTGAGAAGGCAAAACACATAGGGTTAAAAGCGTCAGCCGTCATTTCCGGTCATCACAGGAAGTGATCGAAGAAATCGAAAATTTCAACTTTTCTTTTTAAAATTAAAATTTTCATCACTTTATTGCTTCCCTTTCGCTGTTTTAAAATATGTTAAATTCCACCGGAAAAAAACTTTAAACTTCCGGTTTTAAAAGATAAACTACGTTATTTCGTGGTTTAGCTTTCTCATAAATATCACTTATAGATAAGTAATTGAAATGTTTTTTTTTTTTTTTTTTTTTTTTTTTTTTTTTACATATGCTGTAGATACTGCAAAAGTCAAGAGAAAATTCAGAGATTTTTATTCAGTTCACTTCCGGTCGTGTGTTTTCTTGTCCTCAAAATTAGAATTTGTTCTCACAATTGTTCGGCAACAGTAAAAGACTGAACTCTAAAACTTTCAGGACTTATAGTCAGTCATCAGTTCATTTGCTTGGTGTAAAAATCGTGTGTCGTCATTACTTCCGGTCGTGAGAGGAAACGAAGCAAAAAAGTATATTTTAAGTTATTTGGTTTCTACATAAGTTTTAGGCTAATACCGACGTTGGAAAAGACATGTTCATGCAAACAGGAAGTCGTATAACGGAAGACCTTCTCATTACTAGTAATGAGTTTCTAGTTATTATTATTATTATTCTTCTTTCCTTCTTATTTCTTCTCCGGTACTTTTTTGTCCGCGAGTGTTCTCGGAAACTGCTCATCCAATTGAGTTAAAACCTTTTTAGGGTTAATAGGCATGTTATGTAGATTTGCGGAACAAAGGTCATTTTGCGCGCACGTGCATGCACGTGCGTGCGCGTGCAATGGGTAAAATGACCAATATACTTGATATAGCTGTAATTTTTATATTTTTTGGTGAAATGCTTTGATACTCAGAATATAAGGATATATTAAAAGTGTGAACAAGATGACATGGTCAACATGCACATGCATGCGCGTGCGCGCACGCGCAAAGCGTAAAATGACCAATTTACTTGATAATATCGTAACTTTTATACTTTTTGATGAAATGCTTTGATACTCAAAATATTTATATATATAGAAAGAGTAGACAAGATGGCATGGTCATCATGCACATGCATGCATAGGCATGCACGTGCGCGCGCGTGCAATGTGTTAAATGACTAATATAATTAATATAGCCGTAATTTTTATATTTTTTGATGAAAAGCTTTGATATTAAGAATATATATATATATTAAAAGTGTAGACAAGATGATTTGGCCATGATGCACATGCATGCACATGCGTGCGCGTGCAATGTGTTAAATGACCAATATACTTAATATAGCCGTAACTTTTATATTTTTTGATGAAAAGCTTTGATACTATGAATTAACAGACATATTATAAGTGTACACAAAATGGCATGGTCATTATGAACATGCATGCATGTGCACGTGCGCGCAATGCTAAGATGACCAATATGCTTGATTTAGCCGGAACTTATATATTTTTTGATGAAATGTTTTGATACTGAGAATATAAAGATGCATATATAGTATAGACGGGATGACTTGGTCATCCTACACATGCATGCACGTGCGCGCGCGTGAAATGCAAAAAATGACCAATATACTTCATTGCCTTATTTAATGAAGCTTACAGGAAAAAAGTCACCAAAAGGGAGTTGGGGAGCGTTTGGGGAACATCTGTAACGGTCCCCGTTACAATTATAACTAGTTTTCTATGTTTTGCTCGTGCGATGTATAGAATTCTGTTTTTCATAGTATAAAAGCCTGGTAAATTCTGTAATTCGAAGTCTTTTAGTTCTCTCTCATTCTTGAGGCAACGTAAGTCATTTTTATTTTATTTTGTTATTGTTTAGGCTACATCTTCATTTTTGAAAGGAATCTTATTGAATTTTATTTATGGAAAGTTGTTTTATTGAGTTATCAGAAGTAAAAATATTTTGGTAATTTATTTGGCTAATTTTAAGGATTTGTTTGAGGCTTTGATCAGTTGAGATTTTGATAGCAAACTAGATTTGGTAGAATTTTACTGAGTTATTTAATTTTTAACTTTATTGGAAAGTCTGGTCTATCTGATTTCTAAAATTAGGCTCTTTTTAATTATTTGTGAGAGAAATTATATTTTAGAAAAGTCTTTGTTGAAAACATAACTTGATGATTGTCTCAAGTGATCACTGTAATTGATAATTAATTTAATTACTGTTGTATGAAGACTTAGGGTATTTCTCAAGAGTGATTTTCCTCAGAGAAATTTTATTAGGAACTTTTAGATTCTAAAGGGTGATTTTCCCCTGTGAATTCTTTAGCTTATTTATTTCTAATTACTGATAAGAAACTCATGAGTGATAGCCTCAGATGAGTTTAGCTTATAATTTTTATACGAGAAGTGATTGACCTTCTTGTTTTGTCACATTGAGTTATCCCGAGTTGTTCCCCTTTAACTGTGCTGTGATATTGGTCGATCTCGTCTTCGTGTCAGTTTTGTGTAACAATTTTATGCACATGAGTGAAGTCCTTAGCCGCGTTGTTTTATATTTTGCTTGTTATATTGATTAGAATGAATAAATTTGTTAACTTTATGAAATTGTGTCTCATTTACAAGTCTTTAAGACTGCTGTTCAGGTGTTGGTGATGGTCAGTGTCAGGGTCAGAGTAAAAGTATTGAGAGTGAATAGGTCTAGTCATTTTTTAAATTTTTTATAAGAGGTCATATTTGAGGTTCCTTGCTGATGGGAGATAATCAGCTGGTGGCAGCGCTACTGGGAAAAGGACTTTCCCGCTACAATATCAAATCAATATACTTTTTTTACTGTTCAAAATAGAATGTTTGGAACAGATTGAGACACAAAAGAAAGGACGTAAAAGAAATCCATTTCTGGCTGTGTCGCTCTGAGGAGTAACAAAACACAACATCTAGCCCCAGTATAGACTTTTCCTTGATGTATCCTTATCAAAATAAAGAAGCAGAATATTCATTTCTAGAACATTTTTTTTCTTTAAGGGGGCCGACTCGGGTTTTCATTGCACAATACTTCGCGCAGCATAGTAAAAATAAAGCATATTTACTCTTTTAAAGCAACTATTTTTACATAGTTTATAAAAATTAACAAATTTAGAAAATCTCAGGTTAAAAATTCTAATTAGGTTTTAAAATAACTGATTTTTAAAAACGATTTTTCAAACGTTGGGTAGTTAGACGTCGTAATAGTGTGTTTTTGACGTTATGAATAACCGACGTTCTTTAAGATAGGTCATTAATTAAGTCATAAAATAAAAAGTATGAAGTAGATGCTCTTGAAATTTTAAACATAGAAAACTGAGAATCTCACAATCAATTCTACTATTTTTTATGTAAATCTGTGGTATCTGTTATGTTTTGTAGTACTCCATAAAAACAGGAAAATATCATGAGTTTTGAGATGCCCCCTCTGGAAACCAGACGGTAAATTTTGTGTTTCTTGCATAAAATGTACAAGATAGTATTACTCATCAAATAATATACTTTGAGCAAAAAGTCTATAATAGCATTTGTATTATTTGCTCCGAAGTGCGAAAAAGGTATTTTCCTATATAATCCTATAGTAAATGTACCTGTATTTTGAGATGGTCCCTTAAAATAACCAGACGGTAGATTTTCACTAAACTTGGCATGCATGCTGAACTCAATGTAAGGTACATATGGTATAAAATTAAAGAGTTTTTCTATAGTAGTTTTCACACAATAAAACCCAAGTCGGCTCCCTTAAGTTAGAACTATGTAGCGACGTTTTTGTTAAATCTCTCAATGATTTGGATTCTATAATCATCATTCCATTTTTAAATTATACATGAAAGTTATACATTTCGGTACTTTCGATTCGGAGTATATAATGGTCAACAGTCAAATGATTTATTCTTAAAACACTTCTTTTGGAGGATATTAAGACTTTAAAGTTCCTTTAAAGTTCATCGATTGGAAATAAAATGTTATTTTCTTTCTAAATTCTCATCTTTTTAAAGTAATCTGAAAGGAAATCAAAATAAAATACAAAAGCATATCCAAAAATAAATACAATATTTATGGTTTAAAACAAATATGACAAATGAAATCTCAACAAAAACAATGAAAAATAAATTAAATAGAGAGTAAAATTTAAGATTCTTTTTCCTGCATTAATCTAAGATCTTTTTCCTGGATTAATCTGAGAAACTCCTCCTTGACTTCTTCAGCAAAACCACCAACAATATTTAATTTGAAATCACTACTGCTTAGAAGAGACCATCGGCTTTCTTGCAATTTGCCAACGTCAGTTTCACTTGGTTTTGAATAGGAGTTTTCATTCACTAATGTCCTCCCACAGTCTGATTTCCTCAAACACGTGCTGTCAGAGTCCGAATCTGACTCTATCTCAGAGCTGATAGAATTGCTGTCCACTTCCTTCAAGTGATAATGCGATTCACTACTATTATTGCTGCATTTACCCTTAACAAGGGTACTATTGTTACTGCCTACAACATCTACTTTGCTAAGAATACCGATCGTGGTCATACTTTGACTATTTGAACTTCCTTTTACATTGTTTTTATTTGTAAAACTCATCCCGGTCATAATTTGGTTATTATCTGCATTTCCATTGGCATCAGTTTTGCGTAGAATGCCGATCCCGGCATTTACGCCATTGCTTCCGGAATCGGGACCGGAAACCTCTATCAATGGCAAATCGAACACATCATCAGCTGATATTTCACAAAAAGGCATTTTACACTTTTGTAAATCATTCTCGCTGGAACTTAACCTAAATTTGACGGAGTGAGTAACTTTTAAGTTTGATGGATCAGAAGCGGAAGCAGTTTGCTTTATGACGTCACTCGTTCTAGTAAGGTTATTTTCCGATCTCGGTTTTTCTCGCACTTCCGTGATCAGCGTCACCTTTTGATAGGAATTATTATTAAGATTTCCCATACAAATGTTACTATCTGACGAAGATGATTGGTCTCCCCTAGTCTGTAAACAAAATAAGAATGTAAAACTGAGAAATAAAATCAAATAGAAATAAATATAAATTAAATGATTTACAGATACATAAAGTTATAACTGAAACTATTTTAAAACCAAAACCAAACTTAAAAAAATATTAGTATGAAACGAAATTAAAAAAGCTATTAAATATACTGTACACAAAGACAACAACCAAAGCGTCTGATAAATAAGGAAAAAAATCACACAGAATCACTGACTGTATTTGTACGATTGACTGTCCATACTGCTTGAGTATTTGCTTTGTGGGAGAAAAATCGTGGTTCCAATATCAGTTTTGTCAGTTCAAGAAATGTAGACGGCATTTGCAGAGACACTGGTAATATTATTATTATCAATATTATGTCCCCTACCGGTGAAACGGAAGGGACTATTATAAATAGTTTTCATCCTCGTCTGTCTGTCCTGTCCGTTCCACTTGGTTTTCCGCACTTTTTTGTTAAAAGCTTACAGATAATGAGTTAATTATTTTTTATATGTGAGTGTACCCCAATGAGTTACAGAACAATTTTGCATTCCGTCCCGCTTCAATGTCAATTTTTTTTTACGGAATTACAACTTTTTAAAGAGGAACCAGATTACACTAGGGGACTAGTATTGCTTATACAATACTCTCAGAATGCCCGTTATGCTTAACAACTTCTATCTGAAGTGAAAATATTTAGTCTCTCATCAGAGTCCTGAAACTCGAAAAGCCAAACTTACTCCAATAAATTGACTTAAATGCCTTTCAAAAAACTAATGAATCTCTAGCGATTGTTATAAAGCCACTCTGCTGGAGCTGTAGTTAATTGTTAGCTTTCTGTATCGGCGTAACAATATAACAGTTCAGATGTATAATAAAGTTCCTCACCAAAGAGCTCAGAGACATATCAAGCTGTAATAGGAATTAACTGATTAAAAACCTAGTTAATTACGTTTAGGATTATAAAGGTAATTACGTCATATAATATATAAGATGATTAGTTATTTGAATATAAGACTATTTAAGAAATTGCTTACAACTGATAAGCTCGTTTATGTTATAAAACCATTACAGTCTTCAAAAATAATGGAATAAAAATGTCTTTCCCATCCACTCACACCTACGTTTTTTTTTTGTGAAAAATGCCGTTATATGAATTATATATTGATATATATTACAAAGTCTAAATGCTGTGCTATATATGTAAAGACACACAAACTTGTGACATCAAGTTGGCAACACCAAGTATTTTCGTAGTAAAAAATGTTGAATGGGGAAAAGTAATTGATATAAGACATTTATTCATCAGAACTACCCACACACCCAAGTTATTTGATTTCACTTTATTGGGTTTATACAACATCGTAACTTCGAATGAGTATAACTCCCTCTTTTCACAGTACAGCGTAACAGTTTTCCTATTTGAAAAACAATTTTACCGGTTGAGGTAGAATACAAGGTTATGTTCATGGATCAGGATCTGGAGAGTCAGCGGTTCCTCTTACATGTAACAAGCTTACCTCTTATTAACTTAGAATACAAAGTCAGTGGTTTCTATCTTACATGTAACAAGGTTACCTCTGTATAACTAAGACAGAATACAAAACCAGGATCTGGAGAGTCAGCGGTTTCTATCTGTCATGTAACAAGTTTACCTCTATATAACTAAGATAGAATACAAAGCCAGGATCTGGAGAGTCAGTGGTTTCTATCTTACATTGTACATGTAACAAGGTTACCTCTGTATAACTAAGATAGAATACAAAACCAGGATCTGGAGAGTCAGTGGTTTCTATCTTACATGTAACAAGGTTACCTCTGTATAACTAAGACAGAATACAAAACCAGGATCTGGAGAGTCAGCGGTTTCTATCTTACATGTAACAAGGTTACCTCTGTATAACTAAGATAGAATACAAAACCAGGATCTGGAGAGTCAGTGGTTTCTATCTTACATTGTACATGTAACAAGGTTACCTCTGTATAACTAAGATAGAATACAAAACCAGGATCTGGAGAGTCAGTGGTTTCTATCTTACATGTAACAAGGTTACCTCTGTATAACTAAGACAGAATACAAAACCAGGATCTGGAGAGTCAGCGGTTTCTATCTTACATTGTACATGTAACAAGGTTACCTCTGTATAACTAAGACAGAATACAAAACCAGGATCTGGAGAGTCAGCGGTTTCTATCTTACATGTAACAAGGTTACCTCTGTATAACTAAGACAGAATACAAAGCCAGGATCTGGAGAGTCAGCGGTTTCTATCTTACATTGTACATGTAACAAGGTTACCTCTGTATAACTAAGATAGAATACAAAACCAGGATCTGGAGAGTCAGTGGTTTCTATCTTACATTGTACATGTAACAAGGTTACCTCTGTATAACTAAGATAGAATACAAAACCAGGATCTGGAGAGTCAGTGGTTTCTATCTTACATGTAACAAGGTTACCTCTGTATAACTAAGACAGAATACAAAACCAGGATCTGGAGAGTCAGTGGTTTCTATCTTACATGTAACAAGCTTACCTCTGTATAACTAAGATAGAATACAAAACCAGGATCTGGAGAGACAGTGGTTTCTATCTTACATTGTACATGTAACAAGGTTACCTCTGTATAACTAAGATAGAATACAAAACCAGGATCTGGAGAGTCAGTGGTTTCTATCTTACATTGTACATGTAACAAGGTTACCTCTGTATAACTAAGATAGAATACAAAACCAGGATCTGGAGAGTCAGTGGTTTCTATCTTACATTGTACATGTAACAAGGTTACCTCTATATAACTAAGATAGAATACAAAACCAGGATCTGGAGAGACAGTGGTTTCTATCTTACATGTAACAAGGTTACCTCTATATAACTAAGATAGAATACAAAACCAGGATCTGGAGAGTCAGCGGTTTCTATCTTACATTGTACATGTAACAAGCTTACCTCTGTATAACTAAGACAGAATACAAAACCAGGATCTGGAGAGTCAGCGGTTTCTATCTTACATTGTACATGTAACAAGGTTACCTCTGTATAACTAAGATAGAATACAAAACCAGGATCTGGAGAGTCAGTGGTTTCTATCTTACATTGTACATGTAACAAGGTTACCTCTGTATAACTAAGATAGAATACAAAACCAGGATCTGGAGAGTCAGCGGTTTCTATCTTACATGTAACAAGGTTACCTCTGTATAACTAAGACAGAATACAAAACCAGGATCTGGAGAGTCAGTGGTTTCTATCTTACATGTAACAAGCTTACCTCTGTATAACTAAGACAGAATACAAAACCAGGATCTGGAGAGTCAGTGGTTTCTATCTTACATGTAACAAGCTTACCTCTGTATAACTAAGATAGAATACAAAACCAGGATCTGGAGAGTCAGCGGTTTCTATCTTACATTGTACATGTAACAAGTTTACCTCTGTATAACTAAGACAGAATACAAAACCAGGATCTGGAGAGTCAGTGGTTTCTATCTTACATGTAACAAGCTTACCTCTGTATAACTAAGATAGAATACAAAACCAGGATCTGGAGAGTCAGTGGTTTCTATCTTACATGTAACAAGTTTACCTCTGTTTAACTAAGACAGAATACAAAACCAGGATCTGGAGAGTCAGTGGTGTCTATCGTACATGTAACAAGTTTACCTCTGTTTAACTAAGATAGAATACAAAACCAGGATCTGGAGAGTCAGTGGTTTCTATCTGTCATGTAACAAGCTTACCTCTGTATAACTAAGATAGAATACAAAACCAGGATCTGGAGAGTCAGCGGTTTCTATCTTACATTGTACATGTAACAAGGTTACCTCTATATAACTAAGATAGAATACAAAACCAGGATCTGGAGAGTCAGTGGTTTCTACCTTACATGTAACAAGCTTACCTCTGTATAACTAAGATAGAATACAAAACCAGGATCTGGAGAGTCAGTGGTTTCTATCTTACATTGTACATGTAACAAGGTTACCTCTGTATAACTAAGATAGAATACAAAACCAGGATCTGGAGAGTCAGTGGTTTCTATCTTACATGTAACAAGGTTACCTCTGTATAACTAAGACAGAATACAAAACCAGGATCTGGAGAGTCAGTGGTTTCTATCTTACATTGTACATGTAACAAGGTTACCTCTGTATAACTAAGATAGAATACAAAACCAGGATCTGGAGAGTCAGTGGTTTCTATCTTACATGTAACAAGGTTACCTCTGTATAACTAAGATAGAATACAAAACCAGGATCTGGAGAGTCAGTGGTTTCTATCTGTCATGTAACAAGCTTACCTCTGTATAACTAAGACAGAATACAAAACCAGGATCTGGAGAGTCAGTGGTTTCTATCTTACATGTAACAAGCTTACCTCTGTATAACTAAGACAGAATACAAAACCAGGATCTGGAGAGTCAGCGGTTTCTATCTTACATTGTACATGTAACAAGGTTACCTCTGTATAACTAAGACAGAATACAAAGCCAGGATCTGGAGAGTCAGTGGTTTCTATCTTACATGTAACAAGGTTACCTCTGTATAACTAAGACAGAATACAAAACCAGGATCTGGAGAGTCAGCGGTTTCTATCTTACATGTAACAAGGTTACCTCTGTATAACTAAGACAGAATACAAAACCAGGATCTGGAGAGACAGTGGTTTCTATCTTACATGTAACAAGTTTACCTCTGTATAACTAAGACAGAATACAAAGCCAGGATCTGGAGAGTCAGTGGTTTCTATCTTACATGTAACAAGCTTACCTCTGTATAACTAAGACAGAATACAAAACCAGGATCTGGAGAGTCAGTGGTTTCTATCTTACATTGTACACGTAACAAGCTTACCTCTGTATAACTAAGACAGAATACAAAACCAGGATCTGGAGAGTCAGTGGTTTCTATCTTACATGTAACAAGTTTACCTCTGTATAACTAAGATAGAATACAAAGCCAGGATCTGGAGAGTCAGTGGTTTCTATCTGTCATGTAACAAGTTTACCTCTGTATAACTAAGATAGAATACAAAACCAGGATCTGGAGAGTCAGTGGTTTCTATCTTACATTGTACATGTAACAAGGTTACCTCTATATAACTAAGATAGAATACAAAACCAGGATCTGGAGAGACAGTGGTTTCTATCTTACATGTAACAAGGTTACCTCTATATAACTAAGATAGAATACAAAACCAGGATCTGGAGAGTCAGCGGTTTCTATCTTACATTGTACATGTAACAAGCTTACCTCTGTATAACTAAGACAGAATACAAAACCAGGATCTGGAGAGTCAGCGGTTTCTATCTTACATTGTACATGTAACAAGGTTACCTCTGTATAACTAAGATAGAATACAAAACCAGGATCTGGAGAGTCAGTGGTTTCTATCTTACATTGTACATGTAACAAGGTTACCTCTGTATAACTAAGATAGAATACAAAACCAGGATCTGGAGAGTCAGTGGTTTCTATCTTACATGTAACAAGGTTACCTCTGTATAACTAAGACAGAATACAAAACCAGGATCTGGAGAGTCAGTGGTTTCTATCTTACATGTAACAAGCTTACCTCTGTATAACTAAGACAGAATACAAAACCAGGATCTGGAGAGTCAGTGGTTTCTATCTTACATGTAACAAGCTTACCTCTGTATAACTAAGATAGAATACAAAACCAGGATCTGGAGAGTCAGCGGTTTCTATCTTACATTGTACATGTAACAAGTTTACCTCTGTATAACTAAGACAGAATACAAAACCAGGATCTGGAGAGTCAGTGGTTTCTATCTTACATGTAACAAGCTTACCTCTGTATAACTAAGATAGAATACAAAACCAGGATCTGGAGAGTCAGTGGTTTCTATCTTACATGTAACAAGTTTACCTCTGTTTAACTAAGACAGAATACAAAACCAGGATCTGGAGAGTCAGTGGTTTCTATCGTACATGTAACAAGTTTACCTCTGTTTAACTAAGATAGAATACAAAACCAGGATCTGGAGAGTCAGTGGTTTCTATCTGTCATGTAACAAGCTTACCTCTGTATAACTAAGATAGAATACAAAACCAGGATCTGGAGAGTCAGTGGTTTCTATCTTACATTGTACATGTAACAAGGTTACCTCTATATAACTAAGATAGAATACAAAACCAGGATCTGGAGAGTCAGTGGTTTCTACCTTACATGTAACAAGCTTACCTCTGTATAACTAAGATAGAATACAAAACCAGGATCTGGAGAGTCAGTGGTTTCTATCTTACATTGTACATGTAACAAGGTTACCTCTGTATAACTAAGATAGAATACAAAACCAGGATCTGGAGAGTCAGTGGTTTCTATCTTACATGTAACAAGGTTACCTCTGTATAACTAAGACAGAATACAAAACCAGGATCTGGAGAGTCAGTGGTTTCTATCTTACATTGTACATGTAACAAGGTTACCTCTGTATAACTAAGATAGAATACAAAACCAGGATCTGGAGAGTCAGTGGTTTCTATCTTACATTGTACATGTAACAAGGTTACCTCTGTATAACTAAGACAGAATACAAAACCAGGATCTGGAGAGTCAGTGGTTTCTATCTTACATTGTACATGTAACAAGTTTACCTCTGTATAACTAAGATAGAATACAAAGCCAGGATCTGGAGAGTCAGTGGTTTCTATCTTACATGTAACAAGTTTACCTCTGTATAACTAAGACAGAATACAAAACCAGGATCTGGAGAGTCAGTGGTTTCTATCTTACATTGTACATGTAACAAGGTTACCTCTGTATAACTAAGACAGAATACAAAACCAGGATCTGGAGAGACAGTGGTTTCTATCTTACATGTAACAAGTTTACCTCTGTATAACTAAGACAGAATACAAAGCCAGGATCTGGAGAGTCAGTGGTTTCTATCTTACATGTAACAAGCTTACCTCTGTATAATTAGGACAGAATACACAACCAGGATCTGGAGAGTCAGTGGTTTCTATCTTACATTGTACATGTAACAAGGTTACCTCTGTATAACTAAGATAGAATACAAAACCAGGATCTGGAGAGTCAGTGGTTTCTATCTTACATTGTACATGTAACAAGGTTACCTCTGTATAACTAAGACAGAATACAAAACCAGGATCTGGAGAGTCAGTGGTTTCTATCTTACATTGTACATGTAACAAGTTTACCTCTGTATAACTAAGATAGAATACAAAGCCAGGATCTGGAGAGTCAGTGGTTTCTATCTTACATGTAACAAGTTTACCTCTGTTTAACTAAGACAGAATACAAAACCAGGATATGGAGAGTCAGCGGTTTCTATCTGTCATGTAACAAGTTTACCTCTATATAACTAAGATAGAATACAAAGCCAGGATCTGGAGAGTCAGTGGTTTCTATCTTACATGTAACAAGCTTACCTCTGTATAACTAAGACAGAATACAAAACCAGGATCTGGAGAGTCAGTGGTTTCTATCTTACATTGTACATGTAACAAGTTTACCTCTGTATAACTAAGACAGAATACAAAGCCAGGATCTGGAGAGTCAGTGGTTTCTATCTTACATGTAACAAGGTTACCTCTGTATAACTAAGACAGAATACAAAACCAGGATCTGGAGAGTCAGTGGTTTCTATCTTACATTGTACACGTAACAAGCTTACCTCTGTATAACTAAGACAGAATACAAAACCAGGATCTGGAGAGTCAGTGGTTTCTATCTTACATGTAACAAGTTTACCTCTGTATAACTAAGATAGAATACAAAGCCAGGATCTGGAGAGTCAGTGGTTTCTATCTGTCATGTAACAAGTTTACCTCTGTATAACTAAGATAGAATACAAAACCAGGATCTGGAGAGTCAGTGGTTTCTATCTTACATTGTACATGTAACAAGGTTACCTCTGTATAACTAAGACAGAATACAAAACCAGGATCTGGAGAGTCAGTGGTTTCTATCTGTCATGTAACAAGTTTACCTCTGTATAACTAAGATAGAATACAAAACCAGGATCTGGAGAGTCAGTGGTTTCTATCTTACATGTAACAAGCTTACCTCTGTATAACTAAGACAGAATACAAAACCAGGATCTGGAGAGTCAGCGGTTTCTATCTTACATGTAACAAGCTTCCCTCTGTATAACTAAGACAGAATACAAAACCAGGATCTGGAGAGTCAGCGGTTTCTATCTTACATGTAACAAGCTTACCTCTGTATAACTAAGACAGAATACAAAACCAGGATCTGGAGAGACAGTGGTTTCTATCTTACATGTAACAAGCTTACCTCTGTATAACTAAGACAGAATACAAAACCAGGATCTGGAGAGTCAGCGGTTTCTATCTTACATGTAACAAGGTTACCTCTGTATAACTAAGACAGAATACAAAACCAGGATCTGGAGAGTCAGTGGTTTCTATCTTACATGTAACAAGCTTACCTCTGTATAACTAAGACAGAATACAAAACCAGGATCTGGAGAGACAGTGGTTTCTATCTTACATGTAACAAGCTTACCTCTGTATAACTAAGACAGAATACAAAACCAGGATCTGGAGAGTCAGCGGTTTCTATCTTACACGTAACAAGGTTACCTCTGTATAACTAAGACAGAATACAAAACCAGGATCTGGAGAGTCAGTGGTTTCTATCTTACACGTAACAAGCTTACCTCTGTATAACTAAGACAGAATACAAAACCAGGATCTGGAGAGTCAGTGGTTTCTATCTTACATTGTACATGTAACAAGGTTACCTCTGTATAACTAAGACAGAATACAAAACCAGGATCTGGAGAGTCAGCGGTTTCTATCTTACATGTAACAAGGTTACCTCTGTATAACTAAGACAGAATACAAAACCAGGATCTGGAGAGACAGTGGTTTCTATCTTACATGTAACAAGCTTACCTCTGTATAACTAAGACAGAATACAAAACCAGGATCTGGAGAGTCAGTGGTTTCTATCTTACATTGTACATGTAACAAGCTTACCTCTGTATAACTAAGACAGAATACAAAACCAGGATCTGGAGAGTCAGTGGTTTCTAACTTACATGTAACAAGCTTACCTCTGTTTAACTAAGATAGAATACAAAGCCAGGATCTGGAGAGTCAGCGGTTTCTATCTGTCATGTAACAAGCTTACCTCCAGGATCCGGAGAGTCAGTGGTTTCTATCTTACATGTTGGTGGGTATCAGCAGTCACTTATTCCTAACAAGCTTCCTCGTTTAAAATAGATTGCCAAAATATGTTGGTGGATATCGGTGGTCACTGTTACTTAACAAACTTACCTCTGTTTGAGAAAGAATACAAGATGATGTTCTGGAGTACCGGCGGCTACTGTTCTTTAGTATACGTTGAATTTTCATTCTTCTGTATTTCTGTTTTATGACTCGGCGTACCTATAGAAATATTGTAATAATTATTATTACAGTGGATTACCTAGTCAAAAATTTAATATGTTTTTTTCCCAAAAATTCTTTCAGGAGAGGTTTAAGATTGTATTATGTTATCTTACCTCGCCATTTAAGAAACAGTAAAAAATTGAAATTAAGATTCCCTGCAACGAAAAATTACATTAATAAAACAGTTGCAAAAAATAACAAACAACTACAGTTTTACTACATTCTACAGAGAAGAAAAATTAGAAAAAGATTAATTAATTAACAGACTTTCCATATAAATTACTATTAACCAACTTTTATTCGCGTGCGAGAAATTTCCGCGAGTTTCACGATCTTTGCCTACTCGCGAATATTTCTCGTCGCTCTCTTTTTAATCCATAAAGTATTTATGTATTATACTTCCTCAGTCGCGGAAATTAGTCGTCGCTGATAGAATAAAAACTAGCAAATCGCGAATAAAAGTTGTCGCGAATAACAGTTGGTCTACAGTACATAATGCCAAGAGAGAACTGTTTCTGACCTGGTTGGAATGGAGTACAACATTGGTGACTTGATACACGGAGGCGTAAGATCCGCCATCGTTCGGATTAAATAACATTATAAGATTGGTCAATCCAAGCAACGGCATGAGAATCACGGTTGCTCTAATAGCCTTCCTACAAAATTTGAAAAAAAATAAATAAAGGTATTAACTCATTAGCAAACTAATCATTATACTCACTTACTTAACTCAATTATACACTTTACTAACCTAAGCACCGTATTCATTCATTTACGCTCATTCACTTTAATTACCGAGTTTTTCATTAGAAGATAAAAGCTCTGGTGCCTTTCAATTCAATATATAAAGTGACAGTACGGCGCATCTCATCAAAAAACAGACTTGAAAAAATTTTCCGATAGGATTTGGAATTTTTTTACTACTCATAAATGTATAAACCTTCAAAAAATTACAAGTTTCATGATCAAATAACTTTGATTTTTTCATTATAATTCATATAAATTAATAATTATTTAAGGACCATAAATATATACATCGCAACGTGTTATGGGTTCCACATTCGATGCCATTCACTCATGCGTACTTATCATAAACAATGCAGCATGGTAAAAGAGGGTAGCCCGATAGGCCTGCTACCTTGACAAAGTCGACCAAGGAGAAAAAGAACTGAAATAGAGTTTGAAACAGCGAATTTCTGGACCAAAATTTTACTTTTGGAATTAATAAAATCATTGGTGGAGGAAGAAAGGGGAGGTCGGCGAGACTCCCACAGGGCTCGTGAAGGTTCTCCTCGACAGGTTTGTTGATACATGTTATCATTTCTCATATCTCCATCGCTTTCAAAGAAAAAAAGCAGACGGTGTAAACTCAACACCTATCATATATAAATATTATTGCCATTTTAAGTTCAAATTTTAATGTAACTGTCCTGAAAATATTTTTGATGTTTTGCCACGATAACGCATGATTTGGTGATTTTCCCTTCTCGGACCCCGATATACAAAACGTCAATATTTGTACTTTTAATTCTTTTAAATTCGTCTTAAAGCAGATTAAAAAGTTTACGATTAATAATTTATCGGAAAAGTTATAATATTTTGCTTTTGAGAATTGTTTTCACCTTTTATTCCATTATAATTATAAACTATACAGTTTAGGCACGTGTCATTCAGAATTCACCTGGTACAAATAAACAAATCTAAGATTGCTCCGGTTTGTACGACCCTTTGATTTCCAACAGATTTAATTAGCTTAATTTTGTTTGAGGAGAGAATATTCATGTTTCTCAAACTGTCTCAAACACATTATATTTAATCACGTACTCACTAAAACTACTTTTTCACTACATTTACTTAGTTTTAACGATATCTTCACTCTCTAATTCATCATACTTGCTCAATAGTAACCATACATACTAAATCACTCAACTGACTTCGTTACTTCTAAGATATAGTAGCTTACTTACTCAATATATTATCTCCCTTACAAAATTCCATATACTCACTCACTAACGCATTGAATTTATTTACTCAGAACTCACTTTTTATGCTTTACACACTATACGTACTTGATTCACTCATTTACTATACAAACTCACTTTGCTCACTTATGAATAGTACGTGTGCTCTCATACTTTCGCTACACTTTACACTTCCTATACTCACACATTTTATACTTGCTTACATGTTTGCTTACTATAAATTGATTTACTCAAATCTTAAACAATTTACTTTACTCATTTACTAAATTGACTCACTTATTATACTCATTAACACACTATACTCACTTAATTCTTGATGATTCATGAGTATTATGTGCCCTTAACTTCGTCACCAGCACTCTTATGATGTTGATTAAAAAGAACAAATTAACCTGAAAATATTAAAATAGAAAAATACATGTGTATCTTCAGAAAGACAATGCCTTTGTCTATACTAAATAAATTTTCTTCATGGGTCTGATCTTTCCCTAGTGCAGTCAAGTCAGTGGCGTTTTCAGACCCATTTTCATGATTTTTCTGTTAAGTCTAAGTTGTAATTACTGGAAATTTGGATTATCTCCCTTTACAAAATTAGTTTATTTCTCATATTTATATTTTGTGTCAGCTAAAATTATATGCCATTGTTAATAATACTTTTGAGAATTTCAAGCAAATTATTAAACGTCACAAAGGTGGCAACACACGACAGACTGTTTTACAGACTTTTTATTCATTGAAGGAGGATAAGATATGGTGCTCTAGTGATGAGAGGATTATGGAAAGAAATAAGCAATTTAATGGGCAATTGGGCTATCAAAATACTTATTGCATTAATATAAATAAATTTAAGTTTACTTAAAAATTTTTATTGTAATCAATAAGTGTCCTCCTTGAATGTTCAAGTCTGATATATTGTATCGTGATGTATTATAATGGTTATTTTGTTTCATGTCTTAGGAGAGGCAGAGATTGACCAATCAAAATCAAACATTTAACATTTCGGCCACGCGGTGCGTCACTCTGCCTCTTCTCCCACCTACAGCCTTGGAGGACGGACGTTTTTTCAAGTTTGTTATTTACCTCCTTCCACCCCGCCTCCGCCAAAATTTTGGTTGTAATTTTATATTTTAAGCGTTTTCAGACCCATTTTCATCAGACCCATTTTCATGATTTTTCTGTTAAGTCTAAGTTGTAATTACTGGAAATTTGGATTATCTCCCTTTACAAAATTAGTTTATTTCTCATATTTATATTTTGTGTCAGCTAAAATTATATGCCATTGTTAATAATACTTTTGAGAATTTCAAGCAAATTATTAAACGTCACAAAGGTGGCAACACACGACAGACTGTTTTACAGACTTTTCATTCATTGAAGGAGGATAAGATATGGTGCTCTAGTGATGAGAGGATTATGGAAAGAAATAAGCAATTTAATGGGCAATTGGGCTATCAAAATACTTATTGCATTAATATAAAGGGATTAAAGAATTAAGTTAGGAGTGTGCCTCAGGATTACTGATCACAATAATTCCTAATGTATGAGAAAATGAGAAAATTCTTCTGAAAGATTAAGGTTCATTGACCCTCTGATAGGAGAGACAACTCTTACTGGAAAAAAGACTTTTTTCTCCTTATAAAATCATCAAGTTAAAAATCCATTTTTGTCAAATTTTGCCCAACAGATATGCTGCAATTGTATCTTGATCAAAAATATTTTTCTTTTCGAAAATAACTTGCGTTAATTTTTATGATGGAATAGAGAGTTGATGCATTGTTAAAAAAAAAAGTAAAGATATCGGCTTAATGTAGTATACTATGTTTCTTACGATTAAAGCTAGCAATATGGATCCTGACACGATGTAAGAATATGGAGAGTCCGAGTTGTTCTGCCAACATGGCGTGAAGACTGTAAAATGCATGGCAATTGCCCAGGATATAGCTATTATACCGGGAAGACCTACAAAATATAAAATAGCTTTATTTAGTATCTTCTTTTAAAGTTTAATTTTTAATGCTTTATTTCTTTTACATTTTTTTATTCTCAGTTTTATACGCCTTTGATTTGACAATAAAGGGAAAAACTAAGTCTTGGACAGGTTTAGTTTTGTGTTTTATTTAATTTGTTTATTTGTTTTGTTTTTTTTTTTGAAATTTTGAAATCGAAACTGCATATTACAGAGAAATAAGAGTCCACATAGTAGCTACCTTAATCTTGGTCTATATCTAATGAATTTTAAAGTGCATTTCATCATAAAACAACACACAAGTACCTTCTTTGTTACATGCAATACATACCCCATCCTATGGCACAAAATATTTTAAATGGAGCATCCGTAGAGAAGACAGTAACAACAATACTATTGTGTAGAAATAAGCCTTCCACGAACATCCAGAAGATGTTACTGACCATTGTGTACTGTCCCAGCACTATTATAGTCTTACAAACCCAGTCCTGTAGGGGAAGAAAATAAAGGATAACATTACAAATAAAATGTATGGAATGTAAGACTCCACATAAACAAGACAATGGACAATGGACAGAGCTCTAGTTCCTAGACACCGTCTACCTGTACCAAGGCTCATACACTACTTATTGTACAATATAAAGTGGGACTGTATTTAGAACTCTGATATAATAAATATAACATAACACAGTAAAACTGGACTTACCACTCTGGTATAATAAACATCATGACCAAACACTAAAGTTATCCTTGTAAACATAGTAGATCTGGATTTACCACTCTGGTATAATAAACTTCCTGACTAAACACTAAAGTTATCTTTGTAAACATAGTGGGACTGGACTTACCACTCTGGTATGATAAACATCATGACTAAACACTAAAGTTATCCTTGTAAACATATTGGAACTAGACTTACCACTCTGGTATAATAAACATCATGCCCTTACTCTAAAAAAAAACTCCTTGTAAACATAGTGAAACTGGACTTACCACTCTGGTATAATAAACATCATGACCAAACACTAAAGGTTCAAACAAGATAACGATGACGATAAAGCGAAGGATAAAGGAGACGACTAGATGTTTATGTATAGATACTCGGCTGCACTGAAGTGACCTAGAAAGAAAACAATTTTCATATTCTAATTCTGAAAAAAAATTTTGTTCTTATACAATATGTGGAAAATATGTATTTGTATAATGCTAAAAGTGATAAAAAAAAATGTTGAAATAGATTAAAGGAGCAATAATAACAAGAGATGTTTGCGAAACACTTATGTCCCCCCTCCCCCAAATAATTGGAATTTTTCAAAGTCCAAGGGGCATAACTGTCAAAAATTGCTCGATCGTACCCAAAATAGTTCTTGTCCTAGATATTTTAATGATAAATCTGTAGACCTAATTTCATTTCAGTATGTGCAACTTCTGTGAAGAAAATGAACGGAAACTGCAAATAATTGGAATTTTTCTAAGTCCAAGGGGCAAAACTCTGTCAAAAATTGCTCGATCGTACCCAAAACAGAAATTGACCTAGATATTTTTATGATAAATCTGTATACCAAATTCATTGCAGTATGTGCGACCTATGCAAAGAAAAATGAACGGAAACTGCAAATAATTGGAATTTTTCTAAGTCCAAGGGGCATAACTCTGTCAAAAATTGCTCAATCGTACCCAAAACAGAACTTGACCTAGATATTCTAATGATAAATCTGTATACCAAATTTCATTTCAGTATGTGCAACCTCTGCGAAGAAAGTGAACGGAAACTGTTTGGTTGACCGACCGACAGACTGACCAACCGACCGACAAACACCAGCAAAGCAATATGCCCTCCCTTCTTCGAAGGGTGGCATAATAATAATGAAGCTGTACAACTTCTATAGCATATATTTTTTTATCCCATAAGTACTCACCGGAAGTAGCAGAACACGAAGAGTGTGATACACAGGAAGAACAAGGACACTAAACTACATCCGAAATAAATATCCCTCATTATCAGAACAGCTCGGGAATGTTCCGCTACCTAGAGGAATAAAGCATCATATTTGATAATGTCGGTTACAGTTCTTGAAATTTCTAAACAGTTACAGTTTATATATTTATGCTTTACATTATGATCATGAGAGACAGATTAAACAGAGATTAAGAGAAATATCCAACACCAGTGGAGAGGAATTATCATTGTCGGGGATCAATTCTGGGGGATTTCATAGGTAACCCTAACTAATGTACATTCCAAGAAATAATGTTTGTCAGTGTATTCAATTGGTCCATTGAATTTTCTGTTAATGCAAGTTACCCGCGAAATTAAATCCCCAGGAACTAGTGAAAGATGGGTTTTACACGTGAAACCCCACCCCACCCCAACCTCCACAAATGTAAATGAATCCATAGTAATGTATTTAAATGATTTCTTACAGATGGAGTTAAGCTAGTCACATCCTGTGGTGGAAGCATTTTGTCTAGAAAGTCTATACATTGCTGGTAATCCGTTATATTTTTCCAGTATCCATCTGACCCACAATGTCGGTATGCCACGACATGATCTAAAAAAAAAAAAATAAATATTATTACTCTTAAGCGAATATACCGTTCACGGTAGCTCAGTCGGTAGAGCGCTCGCTCCGTGATCGGGAGGTCGTGAGTTCGAATCTCGGCCGCGACAGACCTAAGTCGATAAAAAATAGGTAGCAACTGTTCCTTCGCCATGCGCTCGGCACTTTGAAGTGAAAGTTGCGGGTCCTTCGGATGAGACCTTAAAAACCGAGGCCCCGTGTCACGGCAGGCGTTGGCACGATAAAGATCCCTCACTGCTCAATGGCCCTGAGTGCCGAGTAAAGGTCAAAATTTGAAGCCCTTCACCGGTATATTGTGACGTCTCTATATGAGTGAAAGATTCTCGAATGGGACGTAAAACAACATACAATCAATCAATCTTAAGCGAATATCGTCAATATTGCCTTGGTTTATTATCTGAGAGTTTCCTTTATAAAATCCACAAGAAATACGCATTTTTACATGTAGATTTACAGTAAGTAATTCATTCTAAAGAAGACATTTTACTTTCATATATATATACCTGGTGCACCAATAGCAGCTGGACAAGGGGCGGTAACTGTTGTGTTACTTTTTGTCGCGTACCAACAATGGAAAGAGTCGTGATGAGGCTCACAGTAAGTTTCATCTAAAACAAAAATAAAAGAAAGTTTTCAAGTATATTACTTCAACTATTCTACAAATATAGGACTACTGAGTTTCTGCAAAATTTCCAAGAAAATATAAGAAAAATCTATCCTTTAAAGAAAACAAAATTAATGTTTTTTGTCGCCACAGGAGGAATTGTACGGATTGTGAATCTAATGAATGATTCATGGCATATACTAGTATATGATATCATGAGGATTTTTTTTATCAAATACACCATTCTACTTGGAATACAATGGACCTTTTAACAGGAAGGATGTTTGCTTTAGACAGAGTATATTTTACAGAATCCTGTAAATCGAGAATTTTTTAACTATTAGCTATATTAATTTTTTTTTTCTAATTATCACAATTAAGTTTCAAATACCCTGTGAACAACCTTGCCATTTGTTTTATGATGACCGAACATAAAACTGCGGTATCGTTTGTTATGTGGGGGTAGTTGGGTGGGGTGGGGGTCGGGAATTAGGGGGACTATTATACTGTCAAACCAACATTGAACGATATATATTTGATAACGACAATTGAGAGAAGTATATTTCCAACTTCAGTGATACGTACAAAGACACATTGTCAGTTCACAGTGAAACTTGTGCAATCCGAATGTTATGTATTCCGGAGTGCTGCCTAATACTATCTTAACTTTAAGTCCCTTTAAGTTAATTCTATTATTTAAAATGTTGTCTAATGAAGTTCAAATGGCGGTGTTGTATTTGATTATCTACATATATCTTATAATCATCTTAAGGTAATGTTAAACAAAATTTAACGTTATATTACCACAATAGAATAATAAACAGTTGGTATTCAAGTGACCATGAATCTTTACATATTGATTATTATTCGATAAAAGGACCAAATAAATACCGATTGATTTTTCAAATGTCCCTTTAAAACTATGCCAAGGTCAACCTTAAATCACAACAAAAGCCAGCGATCAGATATAACCTCCAGTGTTGCAGATTTCTAAACAAAACATCTCTAATGCTTGAGAAGAAAGCGTCGTCATAAATCATTGCTGGGCACATAAAAAGTAAAGAATCGAGAATGATCATCATCGACAACTTAACAAGACATTATATAATTTGTTGTGTGGTGAAGCCCCTATAATTAATTTGCCAGTTCAGTTGAAAACGAAGGCAATCGATGCCGGTTAAGGGCTAAGACTCATTAGGATGGAAGCCTTGCTGTAACATTTAACACACTGACCTGTTTTTTTCTCGTTTTCCCTTAATTAATTTTTTCAAATTACATCAAATGATCTTAACAAGGAAATGAACATATCATCGTTTTAAACAGTAAGTAGATATTTGAAATTAAGAAAAACCGTCAGGTAAAACTAGAATCACAACCCGGGTTGATTGTTGATTTTTATTTACGATTTACATATACAGTAAAAAAAATAAACAAACAAACAAAAGCAAAATATAAAAAAAAACATGATAAATCTCGATCACCTCTTATTTTCGACATCAGTTTTTTCATCGTCAACTTCCCTTTTTTATGTAGCAATATTCCAAAATCACCTGAGAGGCATATGGTGTTTATATCTCCCAAATGAATCGATGCGCTCTGAATACGATCAATTTTTAAACTGAGGCAAGCTACTCTCAAATTAGTTGATGATACAGGATTTCAAAACCCCATTTAAAGTCAGATTTTCGCAAATTCTACGTTTTTTTTTTAAATGACCTTGTTTGTGAATACAACCTATCCTAAAGTGGACATTTTATTTCAACTTGCAGTGGCCACTATCGGACCACTCTATATTTATAAGATTACAAGATTTCTTTTCCTTTTTCTTTGAAAAACAGTAAACGATTACAGTTACCAAAAATGAGAATTAGTTCACATTCACTAAATATCGAAACACGTCAGGCATTCTACAGCTGTTCTAACTATCAAAATAAGTGTTCATTGCATATGTTTGTAAATTGTTTGTTAAAAATGAATAATTATAACAGTTGTACTCTACCCTCCCGTTTAAGTTAAACTTCGATTTGAATATACATGTATATGACATTTTTAATGCAAGATCACAGTATATTGTGGCATTGATCTTAATCACAAAATTGTAAACTATTTGATTAACAAAACAACAAACTTTTATGTACATGTACCTATTTAGATAGGTGTTTCATGCAGGGAAAACAGATCTGATTCCGAAACTTTGAAGAATTGAGTGACTTTGTCTTACATGTACATACTGTGCTCAGTGATTATGTTATATATTTTAGTTTTCTGTAGATTGTCATTTGACTTGTTAGCTTCTCTGTATGGTGATGTCAATAAAAAAATGAATTTAATAAAAGCGACAGACTTATAAGTCATACATTCTTCATTCAGTAAAATTTCCAAGTGATTTGACATAATCTTCTCAAATATCCATAAAAACTGTTTTAATATCAAAAGGATGTGTTTGCATTTATTAACATAGAGAGGTCTTTTGTTAATATCTGTGGCTTAATGCTCTTCGTTCGCCAGATCTTTGATATATGTATAACTTATCAGACAGAAAATCTTCGACTGATGAAACATGCTGAAATTTTGTTCAGGAATATGTGTACCTAGGATTGCAATGAATCTAACGATTTTGTTATCGGTAATTAGTTTGGTTCTAAGTGAGAGCGATTCCTACTCTTGATAGTATTATGTCACATAGAAGATTTGTAATTTCCCCAACTTTAACACAATGACACAATTTTTCGCTCTTCAATCTTTGTATCGCCTGCTCTTATGAAGCCATTAAACAAACGATACGTTAATTATTGCCGCTTTCGCCGGAAATGACATCACTAAGACCTATTTGTATTGTCGACGAGAAATCGTCCGCGTGTGCCCACGTATGATATAAATTATTAACATTCTAGTCAGTTAGGTTCTGGAAATATACAGCGCCAGTAATTATATTTTTAAAACAAAGAACCCATATCCTAATCATCTCAAACTTAAACGTCGTGTAAAAAATCAAATCTTCTTTCGACTCGTCATTTTAAAAAGACTTTTATTTCATTTTAATTATAGAAAAGCATTCATAATTTAGCATCCAAACTGAAGGTTAAATGCACATTAAATCATCGACGATCGGTTTTCTACCTGAGGTCTTCGCAAAAAACTTGAGGCAGAGTTAGCAATGAGCTCACAAAATGATACCCCCTCTCTCATGTGAGTATAATGGCAGATTCCATATTTTGTTATGAACCCCCCCCCCCCCCCAAAAAAAAAATGTCCGATCAGAACGTTGAGATAAGAGAAGCACAATGAAACTATGTAATAAATATTCTGCGAAAGTCTCATTAAGTTTCATTCAGTGGTTAAGGAAGAATTTCGGATAGGAGATGGGTAACTCCATTGAATACTATAGAAAGAATGGCAGTCTCCATGTTTTGTTATGGGAGACCCAAATATCTGTTCTATTGTAAAATAGGAGATGCACAATGGCACTATTTTGTATGTAACAAAGATTCTTTGAGAGTCTCATTAGATTTTATTGAGTGGTATAGGAGGAGTTGTGGTTAAGAGATACATGTATTACAGAGAGAATGGCAGTGTCCATGTATTGCTATGGGAAACCCCAAATATGTGTCCGTAAAATAGAAATTCATGCACAATGGTTCAGTTGAATTTCGTGAAAATTTCATCAAATTGTGTTCCGTGGTGGAACGGGGAGGGTGGCGTTATCGTATGACGTTAAAAGCATTCTTTTAATAGATATATTCTCCCAATTTTTTTTTTAATTCTAATCAGTTTATACGGTTACTATGTTATACATGTACAATTATTTGAATGTTCAATAAGACAGTTCAAAGACATTATACTGCTCTGGGTAGGAAAGACATTGGATGAGAATTCTAATTTCGATTATAATTTTTTTTTTGAAGGCTTGCAAAATGCAAAAGTCATGATAACTTACATGTAGCAATTATCCATTTAAATTCAAGCTTTTTTTTTCTTAGGGATGTTTTGGGTATTCATGGCCAGCTTTTCTCATATCATAATAATGATCTAAAACACGGTGTAATTGTCATTAAAATGTATCATAATGAAAAATGAAAAAAAAAAATCATTACTTCAATAAAGTTTTAAAGTTTACCTTTTCTGAGATTTCGACACGTACACACGTACACACGTACAAACCAATTTCAATGAGAGATATATACATTTTATACATTAATTAAACATATCAATATTTTTTTTGAAGTAAATGTTAAGTTATGTCGTTAACTAATGCTCATTATGCTATAATTTTACAATCAGTACCAAATAAGGGGGGAAGCTTTTTCAAGACATAAAATATTTCTTTTTTGTAAAAGTTCCATGAGTTCCTAACGAAATAAAAGTTACAGTATCTCCATTATCAAATTATATTTGAAGGTGGGTGGGTGGTGGTGCGTTGGGGGTTATGGTCAGGTATGATACTTCTACTACATGTATATAGTAAGGTGGGTGGGGTGGGTGCTATGTTCAGTATAATAATTTCTACTACATGTGTATTTTTGTAAGTGACAGCTCCACTGTCAATCTATCAATTTTACTGAGATTGTCTGTAAAGTTTTACGTATTTTTTATATTTACCGAAAATCTCAGTAAAATTGACAGGTATGCGAACTCCTGTGCTCCAACATTTGGATTAAAATCAAGCTTTAATAATTTTTGTTAACAATTTTTAGAAACAAACTTGTGCAGAACATTAGCAACTATACGAGTCGAATCTAAACAGGTGCAAAGTAATACAAAAATACATGCATTGGCAAAAATGCTTAACTATAAAAAACGTGGTATAAAATAATATTGAAGATCTCTGGTAGACTTGAGAAGACTGAAAAGTAAATGTAGTAAATTAAAAGAAGGATTAAGTTAGGAATGAATTCACACGGTCACTAGAAATGCTCAAGGAGTTCGACTATTGATAGCATATCGTAACAGGCACGTAGTAACAACGGTTTCAAAAGTGCGGGGGGGGGCAAATCCCCCCCCCCCAAAAAAAATCTTACAAGCAAAAAAAAACTTATACTGACCAAAAAGTGGGGGAGCAACTTCCAAAAATTATCTGATAAGCAAAAAAGAAAGCTAGTTTTCTGTCCTAATCCTGGAATTTGCCAGTGCTCGACCTTACAACACAAAAAAGGGGGGGGGGATCTAAAGGAAAATTTACTATAGCAAAATACAATATTCAGAAAAAAGAGGGGTTGCGTATTCTAAGGGCCTGCATACAAAACATTCAAATATAATGTAGTATAGTTATAAAATATAAACGATGATGTGCTAATTATGAGGTTTTCTTACTTGGTCTCCTGGTAACGTTGAGACTAGAATCGGTGCGACACTGTACTTGTAAACGGAAGTATTCCCACAGGTCTTCAGGTATGGTCTCGGTGCTCCCCGGTACGGGCTCCATTGTTACGCTAGAAGCTTCCATTCCAATGCGTTATTCTTGTATGTATCTAAGAGAACACTTAATCATATTCCCTCTCTTGAAACATTTAAATATGTCATTTTTTTGTCATTTGTACACAACACGAATTTCTTTCCCTTTTTGTACTGGTAAAATAGAAAAAAATAATGTTAATATTCACTCGGTAAGTCTTAAGCTCGAAAACAAAGTTCAACAATAATTATTGTATGTCGATAACGTAAAATCCATGCATTCCTTTATCAGACTGTTTCAGGAAATGTTCCATGAGATTCTTCCTACGTCGAATAAATCTGTCCATACATTGTAGGTCTGTGTTTTTTATACGGTGAGTGTTGTGTCTCAACTCTTAATCCCTTACACCATAGAAATTACATATTTCTCTCTTATGTCACAAGATAGAATTTCACACACTAATCGGAAAAACTGTTGAGGTGCCTTGAGATTGTTTTTTTAACATATGAAGTCCACTTCTATACACCGACTAGTTAATATTCTCAACACAGAAATCTCCGACGCACTGGCTCTCTCTCTCTTTCACTTGATCAATGATGTCATCTAAAAATTACAAGAGAATATTTAGTTCCTTGAAGGAGATGAAGCTGACAAATGTTTCTATTTGGTCCATCTGTCATTCCAGATCTCTTTGGTCCATCTGTCATTCCAGAGAGCAAGATGACAAAATCCCGTTAACGTTATGCTAAGAATCTCGGGACGTTGACATCTATGTTTTATTATTGGACGCATTACAGAAATAAATAGGGAACCCAAAACAGATTGAATCTTAATTGTCCAATCTACTGGTCACAAAGTACAATGCTCTGGTCTTTTTTCCTCGGTTTACAATCAATTTTATGATCAATTGATTTTGGGGATATAAGTAATACGCCATCTCCACTCCGTCATTTTAGACTTTGCTTTTTTTTAATGATTCATTAAACTTCAACTACAAAGATTTTCTTAAGTTTACACATTTGAGTTTTAAGCAAATTTAAGCAACGTTTTAAGAAAAAACCGAATGTCTTTCCCTTTCCAAATTATGTATTTTAACCATTGCTAAAGGACTTTTAAAGCATGACCTAATATTTAATATGTCCTTCAGTCATTTTTTTTTATTCATGGGAGGTAATAAACATGCTCAAGTTCGAATAAACGGTTCCAACATTTTCATCCAATACATAAATTATGAACAACAATATATGTACTACAGTTTTAAATCCCGGGATTTCAGAGATGTGGTCTTCAAATTCAACATCTCATTGTCTTTGGAAAATGATATATCGTGTTCCCGCAACTTTACGTGCATATCATCAGTGCTGCATGTAGGTGTTAAAAATGTGAGCAAACGCGCGCGGAACAAAAGTTTTTGAACTTAACCGACCTTTTACAGCGAACAATAAACTGAGATTAAATGCAGAGGACAAAGGGAGCGGGGAAAATTTCGAAAAAAGTTAGAACAAAACGAGAATGTGCCTATTAAACTAAAACGGTCAACGAAATGGCAATTGCACGGTGAGTGCCTGGATGATGGAGTCATAATCAGTGGAATACCTTTTCATTCTTTTAATTCTTAAAAAATGAAATAAATACATAATTTTGTTTCGTATCCTATTTATATTTACTAGTACTTTTTAAAAAAATTATTTTAACATATAAATTAATATTATAATAATATTAATATTCAAATATATGTAACAAAAAAAAATCGGGAGAATTTATTGTTTGGGGAATTTTTTAAATTATTTTTTGTTGATTTTTTACAGTGTATGCATGTAATCATTAATACGAAAGCCTATTAGGATCAAACTACGGTAAAAAAAAAATTAAAAGGCGTTATAACGCCTTTTGAAAAGGCGTTATAACGCGAAAAAACGCGTAATAACGCCTTTTGAAAAGGCGTTATAACGCGGAAAAAGGCGTAATAACGCAAATAAAGGCGTAATAACGCGAAAAAAGGCGTTATTACGCCTTTTCAAAAGGCGTTATTACGCCTTTCTAAAAGGCGTTATTACGCCTTTCTAAATGGCGTTATAACGCCTTTTAAAAAGGCGTTATTACGCCTTTCCAAAAGGCGTTATTACGCCTTTCCAAAAGGCGTTATAACGCCTTTCCAAAAGGCGTTATTACGCCTTTCCAAAAGGCGTTATTACGCCTTTCTCAAAGGCGTTATTACGCCTTTTCGAAAGGCGTTATTACGCCTTTTCAAAAGGCGTTATTACGCCTTTTTAAAAGGCATTAATACGCCTTTCAAAAAGGCGTTATTATGCCTTTTGAAGGCCCATTATTATGTCTTTGACAGGCCCGTGCTTTTAAAGTGGGGGGGGGGGGAGGGGTCCCATAAAATTGACAAGCAAATAAAAAACAAGACCCCCCCCCCCCGAAAAAAAATAAACTGCCTAAACTTGAGGGGAAACTTTTTCTAATTTTTCGGTAAAACTTTTTTTAAATGCAATGATTTGCCCGAGTTTAACCATACTGCAACAAAATGTTAAGGGACCAAGCAATCAATTAATGATTTTTTATATTTAAACTATAGCAAGACTATTCTCCCAAAAAGTGGGGTGGGGAACCCCCCCCCCCCCCACTCACATTCGTACTACCGGTCTGTTTGAAAAGGAGTTGTATCCAAAAATGGAAAGGCGTTATTTTAAAATAGTAAATATGAAAGATTGAACCAAAGCCATCTTTATTGATGCAATATTTAGATTATAGTTTTAATATTATAAATTATATTATAAATTATAGCATTTTCTATATTCCTGCACATCTCGCAGACAGTTGTTTGCATTTTGCATGCATATAAAGAGAAGACAACACTCTACTTTTGAAAATCCAGGAAATAGGCAGAATCAGCTGTGGGCTTTGCTAGCCACGTATTAAAAATTCATGTCAAATTTGAAATATTTTTCTCTCCTCTTGGTGAAAAACAGGCAAAGTATTTGCATAGGTATAATGAGCAATTAGCCTTCAACAAAATTTCTGAAATCCATACACCTTGGTAGAAGCGTCTGGCATCAGAGAAGGACTAAGTTGGTTTAACACTAAAAATATTATACACATTTAAAAATCTTTTTTCCTAGAAATCTAATTATAATCAGCCCCCAGGGTGGGCTAAGTAAGTCATGTATTGAAAAAAAAGAGGCGTAATAACGCCTTTTGGAAAGGCGTAATAAAACCTTTTGGAAAGGCGTAATAACGCCTATTAGAAAGGCGTAATAACGCCTTTTGGAAAGGCGTTATAACGCCTTTTGGAAAGGCGTAATAACGCCTTTTAGAAAGGCGTAATAACGCCTTTTGGAAAGGCGTAATAACGCCTTTTGGAAAGGCGTAATAACGCCTTTTAGAAAGGCGTAATAACGCCTTTTTTCGCGTTATAACGCCTTTTGGAAAGGCGTAATAACGCCTTTTTTCGCGTTATAACACCTTTTCAAAAGGCGTTATTACGCCTTTCTTCGCGTTATAACGCCTTTTGAAAAGGCGTTATAACGCCTTTTAATTTTTTTTTACCGTAGTTTGATCCTAATAGGCTTTCGTACATTAATTTATCTTTTAATGTGATATAAAACATCGACAACGAAAGTTTGAGCAGTGAGTAAAAGATGGACAAACTGAATTTTGAAGTGGAGTTCTTCAAAAGTAAACGGTGTGTGTGTGGGGGGGGGGGGGGGGATGAACGCAGTACAAAAAAGGACAAAAAGCGAAACAAGGAACAAATCTCAACACACGACAAGCGATCAACATGAATCAACAAACGAAAAGCGTACAAACCGTGAGTGAACGGAGAGCAAACTGAACAAGGCTAAAACCATCAACGAACGGAGAGCGCGCACGCACGTACGGTGAACAAGGATAAACCGTGAACGAATCGAAGGAAGAGCGAACTGTGAAAAAGGATGAATCGTGCACGAACGAAGAGAGAACGATGAACAAGGATAAACTGTGACCGAACGGAGAGCGAACGGTGAACAAGGATAAAACCATCAACGAACGGAGAGCGAATGGAGAAAAATCTGAGAAAAAAAAAAAAAAAAAAAAAAAGGAGTAGAATTTATCATGAATCGTACGTACTTGTAAAAGCAACTTTGTCCGTAAATTTTCCTATTTTTTTCAATAATTAAGAAAACGGATCTACAAAATCTAAAATGAGAACCCCTTATTTTGATTTTTTAAAAAAAAAATATTTGTGCTGATCCTATCCACAAATTTATGACTTTCTGTCTGGTATTTTCCGATTTCCATCGCATTGCCATCCTCTAATGCATAAAAGTAACAAACAAAAAATGTGTAATTAAGCTTGATGTCGTCAACTTTTTATTAAATGTATACAAACACATGCATAAACTGGAAATTGTATTGTAATTTTAAAGCATAACGAGGGGCAAATGCAATGTATGCATTTAATCACTTTCAATGAGGGCTATACGTCTTAACCGATTTTAATGAGACAAAATTCTTCAAAGATTATGGTTAAGAAAGTACTAACAGCATTCAAGTTGCAGAGTTGTAGGTAGAGACAATCTAAAAATAAACTGTATACGTCAGCGAAAGAAAAAATAGATTGTATATATCCTTTCAGTGATTAAGGTAGCTTAACGTCGTAAAAGAAGGAGAAAATCTTACAATGAAGCATTTATTAATGTTGAGACAATGCAATAAAATTATTTTCTAATCTGTAAGGTTTAGATGAGGGTAAGGATGGATCTAGTGATTTTATCATATTAACGCACTGGCGGATTTGGGGGGGGGGGGGAGGCAGGGGCCCGTGCCCCCCTTTTGTGTTCCAAACATACATAAAATTTAATAAATCAATTTTTTGTGTGGCCGTGAGCACCACCCCGACCCCAAAATGCCCCCCCCCCCTTTCAAGATTTCTGGATCCGCCACTGTAACATTATATTGGAATGTGTACATTGTAAGTACACCGTAAGTGCATTAGTTCTCAATAATTTCTGTAGGGCCTACCTGTATATTTTATTTTTAGCATTTCGTGCTCATAAATTTGAACATACTTGTGTTTATTCAAAAACTTATATATCATAAATGAAGATCTTCTGAGTATGTGTTTTTTTTTAATATGTGTGCTTTCCTTAATGAAATTATGTAGAAAAGATTTTAGATAAAGATATGACTTGCCGAACTTTTGTCAAATAAGCAATTACATAAAAAAAAATCAAACATGAATGTCACAAGTTTAT